TATCCAAATTCTTAGCTAAATTATAATAACAGACTTGTGGGACAGAAAGCTGGAAGTTCCTTGAACTAAAGGCCAGCCTGGGCTACACAGAGTTAAAGCTTTGTTTAAAGTTAAAGAAAACCAAACTGTGTTTGGTGGCAATTGCCTGTGATCCCTATACTGTGGTAGTTGAAGGCAGTAGTGTCAGAACCATCAGAATCAAGAGTTCTTAAAATAAACCTGCAGGGTCTTAGCCCAACCATGGAAAGTTGAGCTGGGTCTGAGGAAGAGTAAGCTGCTAGCCAGTTCCCAGACTCCTGGAGACAATCAGATGCAGCAGGGAATCTAGTCAAGCAGGAACTCATTTGTTACCACACAGCAAGCATCTTTTAAAGGAAGAAAAAACACAGAATGGGAAACAGCCAGCCACTGGTTTTAAAAGTCAGCCTATCATGCCCCCTAGGCACCTAGGCTTTAGCTAATGAACACAAGCTGTTCATGCAGTGACCTCATCTGGTTCGATCTAGGCAACAGATCATCTTTTTTTGTAAAACAAAAAAACAAAAAACTCAGGACTCACCCATCTGACTTCCCCTTAGCGCCATCTTTGGCTGGCTCATGTGCCCTACAAAATGAAGCAGTGAGAAGTGCTAAAAAAGTCAGGTTGGCTTCATGGGACCAAACTAGGCCCTCAGAATGTGGGTGACAGTTATGTGGCTTGATCTGTTGAGGGGGGCTGGCAGTGGCCCCAGGACCTATTTAGGTGCATGAACAACTGGCTTTTTGCAACCTATTCCCTATGGTGTGTTACCTTGCTCAGCCTTGACAGGAGGAAGGGCTTGGTCCTGCCTCAACTTGGTATGCCAGCTTTGTTGAATCCCCCAAAAAGGCCTTATCTGCTTTGAGGAGTGAGTGTGGGGTGGGAAGTGGGGAGTTGGTGGACAGGAGGATGGGAGGAGGGGGAACTAGGATTGGTATGTATAATGAAAAATAAATTTTTAGGAAAAATAAAAAGGTAAAAAAATCTTTGGTTGGGATACTTGATATAGAGAAGTATCCAATTCACAGATACGTTCAAGAAAAAGCAGGACCCAGATGGCAGTGGAGTCTTGACCATCATCTGTGGCTGGAATGGTGTCAGCTGATTTAGTCTCCTTTACTTTTCCAGTAGATTTGTTGGTAGCCTCTGAGTTGCTGTTGAAGCTGTGCTGGATTCTGGAGCTTGTGTTGAGTCCACATTTTGGACTGGAGCTGGGTGTGCAGGTGATGCATAAGCTGCTGACTGACCTGGGATTCTGTCTCTTGCTGTTGGGGCTTGGCCAGCCTGGCCACACTTCAGGGCTTTGTATAAGAGACACTCATTTGTCTGATCAATGGAGAAGATGGAATCCGGTTCTGGGAAAATACTTGGACTTAGTGGAGGAGGAGAGCTGACAGCAGATGTGGTCTTTCATATGGAAGTCAAATATTTGAGCCAGTACCATGCATGTACTTAATTAAAATCATCTTTTATGACCGGCCTTTTTTCCTGGGCGAAGACTGTATTCCTTCCAGTGCATCCTTACATCACTGGGAGAAACTTGTGACCTTCCAGGCACTCGAGACATCAGGAGACCTTGTGGACATGGTAGACCTGAAGTACTTGTGAAACCTTGGAGGTCTGGGTTCACTGGAGAGCTAGAAGAATTGTTACTCAGATGTACATTGGGGCCTCCAATCATTTTTAGATCTGGTGGCAATGAGAAGCTTTGGGGAACTAGAGATCCAAGGTCATATGGTAATTTGGTATCATTGTGAGATCTTTTTGGAATGGAAAAAACCTGGTACTAACCAGAAATAGATCAGTCCCCAGCTCCTATGCTCAAGCCTCCACATCAACTGCTACAGACTTGATATACAACACCCTGCTCAGGCCTGTGCATTGACTGGAGAACAGTGCACAAAAACAGAGTAGCTTTGCCAGTACTGTGGGGACTCATCAGCACTCTAAGCCAGGCTGCTGCAATCTCTGCTCTCATCTGGTTCTCAGTGTTTACATCCACATGGTAAACTTGAAAAAAGTTCCTGGATTTTCACAGGAACTTCTACCCATCATGCTAGGAATACGGTGAATTTCAAACTCCAAACACACATAAAATCCCGAGAGTGTTACCAAGTCTCTTCCTTATCTAGAAACATCCCTCCTGCAACAAGGCAGCCCCCCCCCCCCCAATCTATCTATCACACACAAATTTCCTTGAAGCCTCAACTCACCAGGAAATCCATAGTTTGTTTCAACTTTCTCAGAACACCCTCTGTGTTTGATCAACACTACAGGGACCAGTGCTTAAATATCTTCTCCGAAGTGTCTTAGAGGCCTCAGCATCAGGGCTCTCCTTGATATCCCTGCCTTCTAACAGAAGCTTTCTTAGTCTCTGCCTTTCAGGTTATCTCAATCTACCTTCATCCTTCTTGTGCCCATGAACCTTAGAGTTCTTTCTATAAGTGCTGTGAAGTGAGACCAAGGTCCAGGCTTTTCATCCAATGGATGAAATAAATGAGGAAATAAATGAGGCACCTGGCTTCTACTGACCTGCTCTTTCCTTTGTCTCCCCAGTTCTGGTTCAAGAACAGGCAAGCTACAGTGAATTGCAAAAGATTCAAGAACTACCAGGGAATCCTGGCTGTGGGTCGCATGATAGACCTGCCTCCCCTATAGGCTGTGTCCTTCTTGTCACATCTGCCAGTACAGATTCCCTGTGCCAGAGCCCTTCCAGAATCAGCTGTACTCCTCAACTTAGGCTCTCCAGGAATTCATCTGACCATGCATCCAACTTATCTATCATTGATCAGGAGAAATGCTTCAGGAGGAGCTCAGCTAGGAAGAGATGGCAGAGGCAAAAGAGTATAGAAAACCAATTGGGAAATAAGGCCACTAATCGTGTGGTAGGTGTGGAATTCCCAAAGATTGTGTCCCTCTTGCTGGGTCAGATAACTCACAATCTGTGTGTGAGAGAGCCATCCATTTTCAGCAAGCCTCCTGTACTCAGCTTTTTGAATATTTCCCCAAACTCAGAATCCATCTTCTCCATGCATCAGAGATGATTGATCACTTGTGAGCTTTCCTCAACTCAGCCACTTGAATAACTCTCTAGACCAGAGACAGTTGGGGATCTGTTCTCCTCCTCCAATCAGTGCCTCCATCATTTCTCCAGACTCAGAATCCATCTTATCCATGAGTGAGAGCACATCTAGTGTCAGCTCTCCTCCACCACTCAGCCTAAGTATTTTCCCAGAACTGGATTCCATCCTCTCCATTGATGAGACCAATGAGTGTCTCTTATATGAAGCCGTGAAGCTGGCCATGCTCCCAACAGTGGGAGACAGAATCCCGAGTCAGTCAGCACATTGTGCATCTTCTGCAAACCCAGCTCCAGTCCAAGATGCAGACCCAACACAAGCTCCAGAATCCAGCACAGCTTCAACAGCAGCTCCAGGGGCAATGGGAAGAGGTGCGACAAAGAGGAAACAGTTTGAGAAAAATATTATTGCATGTGTTTTGTTCAGTGTGTATTTGGTCGTAAGTCTGACAGCCCACATGTTATGTAAAAAGAAAACATGAAAACTGATTTGCCCATTTTCCCATGTAAACCATGAAAATAAAAGTAGGATCCTCGGGCTTGGTGATAAGGGATTTGATGTGCCATCTCCCAATTTTCAGAGCTCTTGAAGGGTTATGTCTCCAGGAAGAGTAGAGGATGACACTGGGCTTCTTATTTGAACTATAACATGCATGGCCTGTAGGCACCTCCAACTAAATAATTTTTTTTACAATTAATAGACAGATCTTTGAAACATTTCAGTAGTAAGGCCCATTTAATGCCTCTACACACCAGGTTGGTTCACCATGCTTGTATTGTCTTGGAAGTAGAGAAATTATGATCTGGGCTTGAAGGCCAACCATGACTACACAGCAGGTCCAAAGACTGCCTGTGTTACAGGAGACCCTGCCTCAAAAGGTAAAAGAAACATCAACAAGAGATAAAATCTCAACTTGAGTATCTAGGAGTTCAAATGAAAAGAGCAATCATACACTCTTAATGTTAACAAAGGCTACTTAAGAGCCAGACCTGGGGACCCAGGCCTGTCGTCCCAGCTGCTTGGGTCACTGAACCAAGAGAACTGTCTGGGCTACAGAGTGTCTTTGTGGTCAACCAGGGATAGGTGATCAGAAATTTTCATTTGAAAAAAGAGGGAATAGAGACAAGAAATTTATATGAATAAGACACTTATTTCCATTTTTACTATGAACTGGTCTCTGGTTCAATATCCAGTCTTAGGGAGACAAAGAAAAGAGCAGAGAAAACAGAAAAGGATTAAATTAGGTGAGGAAGTCATGGCTAGAGTCAAATATAAGCAAATGTCTGGCATGTGTGGAGATGGACATTCAGGCCTCAACCTTGCTCTCATGAGTGCACCATAAGCCTCAGAGACACAACTATTCCAAGAAGAGTATTTTAACTTTTAAAATTACACTTTATCTCATGTGAAGATTGTGGAGTCACAAATGAGAGAAAGCGGTCAAGTTGCAGATTTGTTTTTCCTATAAATGCCTTTACCCAATCAGCCCTTTTGGGATAGACAGAAAAGTAATTACTGGCTTTTGAGAAAAATATTTTATACCTTATATTTTAATCCCCTTTACATATGGTCACTTTTAATCCTAACACTCAAAAAGCAGAACCAGTACAATCTCTTTTACTTCACTTCTACCTTTGTCTTTGTAACACTTTCCAGGACAACTGGAACTATACAGAAAAAAAAATGTTCCAAAATGCTTAAATGTGCATTGATGTATGTAAATATTTATATTCTTTCCACTCCACCAGCTCCTCCCCACTTTGTGGCCATGCAAATTCAGTTTTTTCTCTTATAAAAATAGGTCCACAGAGAAACCCTGTCTCGAAAAAAAAAATAGGTCCACAGGTAACTACATGAATAAATGCCACATACATGCACACACATAAATTATATGGAGTCCATTTAAGCCAACTCTTTATGATCTGAACTTCAGAACCCACAGGTTGTTGCTAGAAACTGAACTCAAGTACTGCCCAAGAGAGGGAGTTCTCTCAAACACTGAGCTCTCCCTTCAGTCCATAGAGTATTAATGGTTTTAAATCATGTGTGGGAATCCCTATTCTAGCCCCAAATACACAGAATTCATTAGAAAAAAATGTTTCCTTTGCTTGGTAAATATTTGAAGTGCTACTCTCAGGAGATCTTCAGCCCTCTCCCAGGCCCTAGGTAGTGCATACATACATGCAGGCATTTAAACATACAAAAATTTGCAAAGAGAAAGCCATAAACACAGCCATTCTAGGAAGAACAAATGTTAAAAATGCTTGCAGAAATTATTTTCTGCTTTTATCAAACTAACACAAAAGAAACAATACTTAATATTTTAATTTGTTTTGAAACAATCTCAGTGCATGGACGACAGTGGTAAGAAACTAACACAGATTAAATTGCATCACTCTCCCAAATCCTGAGATTAAGGGCATGAACCACAACACCTCTTTCTTTAAAAACTTCTCGGCCTATACTGGTCCAGTGTGAGAGGTATTGTGGAGTCACTATGTAACTCCAAGTCTATGAGTCTCCCATGTATCCAGATGCTTTTGTATCCATTGCCAGCGATGCTCAGAAGTTGGCTGTGGATGTTGAGCAGCATCTGGGACTCTTGCAACAGCTGTGGTGGAAACTGGAGCTTCCACCAAGGCTTGACCTTCAGCCACTCCTGGGTTAGTCTGGGCTTCAGCTACTGTGGCATGACTGAGGTAGAAAGCCACCGCAGAGGCTTGAACATCAAGTAGGTCCTCTTGGGGTTACACCTGGCATCCTCTGTTCCTTGATCATCATGGAAAGAAGCTTGCAAGCTGGGGTTGAGTTTGGGAATGGAGCAAAAAGTGGGTGTACCTGGAGACATGGTCTTTACATTGGAAGAAGCAAATGCTGGTAAGTGACACAGGAATGGGGGGAAGGAGAAAAAAAATCTTGAGAGCATCCTCTTGCCTCTGGCAGTCCTTCTGGTGATTCTTCCATTTGTACTTAGGCATTGGATCCTGAACCAGATCTGGAATGACAAAAAAAGAAATCAGAAGACCTGGCAGCCTCAGACTGTCACAATGTGAAGATCCTCGATGGAAAGCATGGATACAGGAGCACCCAGTGACACACACATTCACAAGGAGTGATGCCAGGATCTGGTACTCTTATCACTGGAAACTTTTACATAAATTCCACAGTGCAGGCTTGGTTACCTGCACTGATCAAAATATTCTAGGAATATATTATCATACTTCAACCCTTTCCCAGGAGCCTTGGGGCAAACTTGCCAAGAGCAGCATTTATCTGTGGGCACTAAAGAGCTTATGAAACCCTGCCAACCAAAATGTCTTAAGCAACAAGACAGCATTTGGAGACTGGGGTCACTGGACCACTTCTCAGTGTTTGGGAACCTGGGTACATTGGGGACATGGTTGCACTCAGAAACTTTGTTTTCCTAGTCCTCCTGGAGCCAATCTTGACCTGGGTACCTAAAGTGAGAAATTACCAATATGGAGTCAGGTAGAAATACAAGGGTATTTAATAGGGAAAAGCTTTATTTACAGAGCGGTTTAGCCAGCCAGCGCGGCAGCAAGCCAAAAAGTGAAGCTGAAAGTGAAACCCAGCCACCTGAACCTCTCACTCTACCTCACCCTGACCACGCCCTAACCAGGTGTGGCTACAGGTTCTCCTACAGGTACTTTTTGGGTCTAGGTGGAGGTGGAGACTTGACTGCATTGGGGATAGTGGAGACACCTGGGGATTTAAAACATTTGGAGCCATAAATTCCTTGTAGGCTCTGGAGGTGGGTGCATATGAGCACATTTGTTAACATGCATGCAATGAGGGATCTTGGGGCATTTAAGCAACGTAAGTTTCATGGGTATGATGGCTCTATGAGGGAGCTCCAGGCACAGAGGATGTGGAAGCAAACTGGGATGGAATCCTATTGGAGTATTATCCTCTACTGGAGAACCTGGGAGGAAGTAAATGCATAGATAGCTCCTCACTCCCCAGGTTTTCTCATCCAGTCTTCCCAGCACTTGAAAATTTGTTTCACGTCAGGCATTGGTGGCACACGCCTTTAATCCCAGCACTCGGGAGGCAGAGGCAGGCGGATCACTGTGAGTTCGAGACCAGCCTGGTCTACAAGAGCTAGTTCCAGGACATCCTCCAAAGCCACAGAGAAACCCTGTCTCGAAAAACCAAAAAAAAAAAAAAAAAAAGGAAATTTGTTTCAGATTTACTATGTAGTTGGGATGACTCTGTTGCCTCATCCTATCTCTCTGTCATTCTGTTTCCTTTGGCTCTAAGTTTTCTAAAGAGTGGAGTAATCATACAAATAGCTCCTGTGTAATTACAAGACTGTTAACCCTGTGAGGCTGGCAATGGAAAGGACGCTCACCCAGAATTTCCAAGTCCTAGGTCCTCTGTCATCCCTGTGGTGCCCTGTTTCTAATCAAGGAGTGAGGAGAGCCTGGGACAGGCAGTCTCAAGTGGACTCACCTAAGCCTAACCCTCAATACACTATCCTTTGTGGCCAACTCACTCCAGTTATCAGTAGGCTCTCCCATTCTGACCTGATCCTTCCTGATGTTTGATACTCGACTCTAAGTTCATAACCTTAAATGTCTTTTCCATCCAGGATCCTCCCAGCCTCACTACACTTTATTCCCTCACATCCAGCAGACCCTCTCACCTGTGGCCACAATCCTGTGGATATCATTGATCTTTCTTTATTGTGTAGATATGGAAAATTACAAACTAACAGGTCTTTGGACAAAGCACTAGACCACCCTGCCCTCATGGTTCTCCAGCCCAGAAAAAAACTGGTGTCTACTTGGCTTCTGTCCTTTTCAGGAAATGTGACCCTACTAAGCTTGTTGACCAGGCATTCTCCACTTTCCTTTCTATTGATGTCATCTGATCTTGTTTATATCTTGATTGCTTCCATGCTCTCCTTATTTCTGTCTTTATTTCTGTTTTGCTTGCTTTCTGGCTTTCTAGTTGTCCTTATTTAATACTTTCTTCCTTTTCCTTTTTAAAATTAAGACAGGGTTCTCTATATAGCAATGTTGTCTTGGATCTCACTCTGTAGGTATTTCTGGACTCCATCTCATAGAAATCCCACTGTGTCTGTCTCCTTTGTGCCAAGATCGGTCATGCCCAATTGATGGAGAAGGGCATGCTCAGCCTGAGACCTTTCTGTCTGCCACTATTTCAGCAATGCTGACACCATCCAGTCCATTTACCTTGGACATCTAGAGCCTCACTCTGGTTCCACAACTCAATGGATTCCCAACTACTTAGAGGTGTCCCAAATTTTCTGCAAAGAGGTAAAGGCATAGGCCTGATGGGGGCTCAGTTTCAGTTAACATATTGCCCCTAGGCTAAATGAGTATTTAGTAGACAGGGCTGGTTACATTTTGTGAGGAACTGACCTACATTTAATCAGTACCAAGGAGGCTTCAGTTTGGTTCCTAGGGTACAGCCACTCCCAGCTGTAGAAATATAGAATCTGCATGTGACCTTTTACTAGTTCCAGAAGCCTGTGTCAGGGAAGACATTTGTTTACTGGACCAAGTTCCAGGCAGCTTTCTGGAATTCTACTGGTGATTTAAATTAACAACTAAATGCAAATGTAATCAGGCAGGGCCAGATAAGGCTCATAGACTAAGCAGTTGTCCAGCTTTTTGAGACCCTGGCATTAACTCCCAACACTGAGTGATAAAGAAGAAAAAAATAGGAAATAAATTGAAAAAATGTTATTACATGTCTTTTATTTTATGTGTATTTGGTCACAAGACAGCCATGGCTCACATATAGAGGCAAAAAGCAAATATGTGGGAACTGATTTTCCCCTTCCACCATGTGAACAATGGAAATAAAACTCATGTCCCTACAGCTGGTGACAAGGGCTATGGATGTGCCATCTCCCAAGCTTCAGAGCTCTTGAAGGTTACATCTCCATTCACAATAGTGACTGACAACAGGCTTCTCCCTTGAACTACAATCTTAAAACACATATGGCCTGTAGGAACCTCCAATCAAATGCTCTTTACAAATACTAACAAGATCTTTGGAACACTTCAGTAGTTGGACACATTTAATGCCTCTAAATCTCAGTTTGGTAAAGCATGCCTGTATTTCCTTGGAAATAGAGAAAGGTTGATCAGGACTTGAAGGCCAGTGCTGACTACACAGCAGCTCTAAAGACTGCCTGGGTTACAGGAGATCCTGCCTCAAAAGAAAAAACAAGTATCAAGAATCAATAGACAAAATCTTTACATGATTATTTAGGTGTTCAAATGAGAAGAACAATCATACACTCTTAATGCTATCAAAAGCTATGTAAGAGCCAGACCCAGGGCCATAGACCCGCCATCTCAGCTACTTGGGAAGCTAAACCAGGAGAACTACAAGTTCAAGGATAGGCTACAGAGTGTCTTTGAAGATGGTGATGATGATGCAGACAAACATAATCATCATCACCATCTTCACCACCATCATCATCACCTCCATCACAGTTACCATCACCATCACAATGATCACCATCACTGACAGTATCACCAACATCATCACCACTATCATCATCGTCACCATCATCATCACCACCATCAACATCACCATCATCACAATCGGTTCCTATTGGTTCTGAATGGTTCAGACTGGTTCCAACCAGCTCAGACCGGTTCCAATTGGCTCAAAACAGTTGGGTCCGGTTCTGACCAGTTCAGTCCTGTTCAGACTGGTGCTGACTGGTTCCAACTTGTTCCTTCTGATTTAGACCTTCTTCGACTGGTTCAGTCTAGTTTAGACAGGTTCTGACTAATTCATATTTCTGTACATAACTCTAAAGCTCTGCTTAATTATTAGTCCTTGTTATGAATTACATCCTTTGTGTAATGGAACTCAATTATAAAGTCACATTATACAGACATTGTAAAGATACCCAAGTGGGACTCTCTTGAGAAGGCCTCACCCACACTTGGGTATATTCTGTCCTTTTCTTATGCATCTCTTTCTAAAAACCAGTGCTTAAATATAAATTGTACACTATCATTTATACACAGTAAATTCACTATTTTTCCTTCACTCTGACTTGTCTTGGAATTCTTTTCTTTTCTGAAAAGTAGTCAAGAATTTGTGTTACCTCAGTGGGGGTCCCTAAGAATTAGAACTCCTCGGGCCATTGGTGGCAGTTCTGGGATGTGTCTTCTCACCACTGCTGATAGTTTCAGCTCCACAATTGTCAAAGGTTAACCCAAAATCACCCATAAGTAACATTAAAGAATATCTGTCTCCTGTTAAACTCCCTCTGTTCATATTGTTCTCTCCACCCAAACTTTGACCTACTATATCACACAAGGCTCCCAATCAGGGAGATGTGAGGCCCTTTATAAAGTCCTTTTATAAAGTGAAGAACATCACTTGTGCTTGAAATACTACACAATTGCAAAGAAGATAAACACATAGATAGCACTCACCAATGCAAGGCTTTGTCAGTTCAGTTTAACATGTTTGAAATGTTAATAGCAGCTCCCACTTATAGTAGAGTGGCACAGGTTAAGTTACAGATACGTGATAAGCAAGACAGTCATGTGAAAGACATTAAACAGTTGCAAAATACCTCCAGTGGGGTGGTGGTGCTCTAAAGGAAAAATAAAACAGATTTTTAGAGCAAGTGCGTTTGAGACCTCTTTCCTGACCTAAGGGTAGGTCAAAGAAGGTTTTTGGGGGAAAGGGGTGGAAAGAATCTATAATATGATTCAGTCTGTGCTACATATCTGACTTATTTCAATAAGAGCATGGCATTGGGAGGAGGAGGAGGAGGACTGGCATTGGGAGGAGGAGGAGGAGGACTAGGAGAAGGAGGAGGTAACTCACCCTCTAGAGCAGTGCTTCTCAACCTTCCTAATGCTGTGACCCTTTAATTCAGTTCCTCATGGTGTGGTGACCCCCAACCATAAAACTATGACATTGCTACCTCATAGTTCTGATTTTGCTACTGTTATGAATCATAATGTA